TTGTAATTGACAGGTAGAAATTTTGTCAATGCACAGATTTTCTAAGTGCTGTCCAAGTTTTTTTGGTATGGTACCCAGTGTGCCGATAACCACTGGAACCACCACTGCCGGTTTATGCCATAATCTTTAAACTTCAGTTTTCAGATATTGATACTTTATGAGCTTCTCCAATACTTTGTCTTCTATTCTACTATCCCCTGGTATTGCCACATCAATTATCCACACTTTCTTTTCAACCACATTTAAACCTGGTGTTTTATGCACTAAAACTTTATCAGTTTGTATTCAGAAATCCCACAGTATTTTTACCTGCTCATTTTTGACTATTTTTTTGACTATACATTCCCACCAGTTTTTCATTACTGGCAGATGATAATTTTTACAGATGTTCCATTGAATCATTTTGGCAATTGTGTTATGTAATTTTTCATAGTCAGTGTGTGCGATCTTCTTGCACGAGCTGAGTATATGTTCTACTGTTTCTTCTGCTTGTTTGCACAATCAACACTTTGAATCCTTCTTCTTCTTCTTCTTCTTCTTCTTCTTCTTCTTCTTCTTCTTCTTCCTCCTCCTCCTCCTCCTCCTCCTCCACCTCCTCCTCTGGATAGAACTTGTCTTTTGCACTTACTGAGGTGGTCAATGAGTGCATAAACATCCTGGTATTCATTGTACAACCATCTTATCAGACTCCCTGAGTTTCCCAGTTTCAATTCAATCTCATAAGAAGAAATCAGGAGGGAATTCTTCCTCTGGGACTTTTTCAGACTGGAAGTGTGAGCAGCCAGGGATGGTTCAGTGATGAGAAGATTTGCAAATGAAAATAACATCAATGCTAACACTCTCTTCACTTTCATCTCTAAAGCAAACTGAAACACACTACTAGAAGAAATTTAGCACAAAGTTTAAAACTGGTTGTCTTTTAAAATTAAGTTGAGAACTACCTAATATTGGCTTATGTTCACAGTTTTTAATGGGAGGGGGGAGTATCTATTTTAAATATAGAAATATATTAATTTGTACTGGTGTATTGTTAGAATACATTAATTTGTGCCAGTTTATCATTATAGCATTGTCATACATTACCAGAGATCCAGCAGAATCACAGAGTGGGACCACATTATTAACTTGAGATTTCACTCTACTTTGGGTGACGCTTATCTGGTTGAATTGCTTTTAGCTTTCAGATGCTAGATGAAACTTCATTTCTTTCCCTGATTTTTGCTACTTTCATTTAGTTGCTCTATCAATCAATCAATCAATCAATCAATCA